CCCCAAGATATTCTCACGATAGCACGACTGCTCATCCTGTGAAGAGATGAGGCAATGAGAAACCACCTTCTCTCGTTTTTGGATGAAGTGAAGCTGTACATGTTCTTTATGGCCTTAACTTGAACACGTTAGAAAGAGTTGCCAGTTAGATGATTTGTGATGCTGGAGCCAAATTATAAGGCAGTGAACCCAAGGACTCTTTTTGTTTGGTTGGTGGGTTTTTTTTCTTTTGGTTTCCTTCACCAAGGCAGAATAGTAGTCTTTTTTTTTTTTTTTTTTTTTTTTTTCCAGTGTAAGAAAGAATATCAGGGTCTAAGTAAAGTCAGATTATTCTGTCAGATTTTTGGATTTAATTCTTTCTTGGCCTTTGGTCCTCTCAGCCAGTCAACAGCGCCGGTATGGTAGTGCTCAGTTGGCATGCTTTTTTTTTCTAGCCACTCAACTCGGTAACACTAGAACAAGTAGTGGTAGTTAGCGGACGTTTTTGTAACCAAATTTGTATAATAGGTAACGTGAGATGACAACTGTCTCAATCTCATTCCCATACGAACGGCTAAAGATGAGCTTCGGTTTTGCAAAGGAGACCTGCCGAAACAACCGTTCACAGCAAAAGGCGATGCCGAAGTCATCGGCAGCACCTTAAACGTCCAGGGAACGGTTTGGCGCAGCTGCGGCGCTCGGCACGGGCGAGCGGGCGGGCTCGTACGCGGTCCTGCCTTGGAAGGAGAAGTTCCCCGAGTTCCCCTTTCTCTTTCTGACGCATCCGAACTGATCCCGGAGCTGCCAGCCAGAGAAGCCGCCCAAAAATGGACCTCTTTTTTTTTTTTTTTTTTTTTTTTTTTTTTTTCTCTCCTGGTGAAGGAAACGCTGAGAATTGCCCCCGGTTTTTTTTGTACAGTTGAGGCAGGTGATTGTGGACCTGAACTACTCCTCCTGCCTACGTGTTTCTGTGGTTTTTGCCTTGTGTCGAGTGGCTGCTGGGGAAAAGCCCTCACCTGCAGAGGTGCCCAGCTGGCAGCCTGAGCTGCTGGCAGCCGTGTCGCCGAGGATTAACTTGCGGTTCTGAATCCTCGGTGTTTGTCGTCTGCGTCGGGGCTCGGGGGCGTAAGGGGCGGCCGGGCGCGGAAACGTGACTGCAAACACAATACTGTATTTTTCCCGTATGTGTAATTGCCTGCCTTTCAGCCTGCGCAGGTGAGCAAAACCACGGGTAGAAGACGACACCCGAGCGATAAGAGGCAACGTTTCGGCTGGACGTTAGGACAGAAGGGCAAATATTCATGGTAGAAATAGCATTTTGTCATATCAAAGGTGGCATAACTGTATGCCAAACAAAGTAACTTGAGACTTTTGTAACTGATGTTCTATTGTATTTTTTTGGTTAAATTACGGATTCTTGCTAACATGTTTAAACACGTTTTCTAAAGCAAAGACTAACAAATTATGCCTATAGAAACGTAGGCGTCGTAGCTGTGACTAACGTTGTCACGCTAGACTGCGTCGACCGAGGAACTTAATCCGTTGCCTCGTGCAGAAAGTTCAAAACTGAAACCCCAAATTTGCTTTATGCCTTTTAATACTGACTTTCAATATGGCAACTTGGTTTGTACATGAATATTGCAGTATTTTATTTCCGTGTATTAAAAATAACATTTCCACTCAGGACCATTACGGCAGTTTTCCTGGGAGGGAGTGGTATGAGTGTCATGACAATGTCATGTGATGGTAGAATTTCTTCATTGACGAATCTATAGTAGTTGTGTATACTTTATTTACCCATGTTTATGTTACTACCAAAAACTAAAGGGTTCCTTTGTTGTTCATCTCCCTCCTGAAATCTTGGCACTCCCAGTGTGCAAATGACGCTTGCAAACCGAAACCCTCGGTCCTGTTCATACCGCAAGGAGCATCCGCCGAGTGAGACCAGTCAATCACGACGAGGCATCCTCGCCAGAAGGCGTCGGGAATAGCGTGTTTGGCGGTATAGACAGCGCTACAGGCACGTGTGGTTTAAAAATAGCCAGCTTCTAATGGCTTGAGGTCGCCATCGGATGTTTACACGCAATCTAAAACACCCTGTGCTTAACATACTTTGTATATTGATGTAGAAAATGCATGTGTGACAGACCAGCACAACCTACGGTGGTGTGTGGTGGTGGTTTCTTTTCTTTTCTTTTTTTTTTTTTTTTTAAAGTGGCCTTCTTAAACCAAAAATGACTTTTTCTTTTCTTTTTTTCCCTTTTTGGGGGGGGGGAGAGAGTGGGTCGCGCTTTTTGCAGAAAAATTCCCACGTGGTGCGTGTCTCTTGGTATTTCTCGTTAAGGCTAATGGCCTTTTGGGACATGGGGTGACAGTTACTCTATGCTCTCATGTTTATATAGCTGCGGTAGGTCATTACAGTATTGGAGGAGGCCACGAGTTTGCCAGTGTTTAGCTTCTGCCCATGAGTCTTATACAGCTTAGTGCTGGGCTGCTTTAAGTATTGGGGATCCGTGTTGAGAAACATCCAAAATATTCCTGTCTAGTTATAATTTGACTGTGACTGTGCATTGTCATCCGTACCTATAGATATGAGAGATATATTTAGAATTGCCTTGTGTATTATCTGGCACTTACTACATCTTTCCAGGTAAATCATCTTGCTGCCAGTCCAAATTGTTGTACTTTTTGTCTGTTTATAACAACCTTTGGCGTAACGAAATATTGACCGTTCTTAGGCAGTGGGGATAAATAATTTTTTTTTCCATGACTTCTTTGTGACTGACTTTGGCTGTAAAACTTTTTTGTTACACAGCAGGGGGGGTGGGGGGGTTATGTTTTTGTTTGTTTTTTTTGTTGTTGTTCTGAGATGTAATTCTTTTACGGATTTTTTTTTTAATTTCATATTTTTTTCTAACATTGCTTCATTAAACAAATATTTAAAAATGTAATATTTGGACCAGATGTTGTGAATAATAGTAGATAAAGCTATTTTATTCTGTATTTTTAAAGCTGTTCAGTATAAATAAACGCGGGCATAGATGCAACTTGGCAGCGTGCTGTTATACTTGCTTTTAAAAAAATCCCCTTGGAAGCGGTGGCTGGGGAGCTCCGGGGAGGTTGGCAGTAACTTTAGAGAGTTACCTTTTCACGACTAGCAGTTCTTTGTAGCAAGGGCCGTGCAAAAACACGCCAAGAGAGGATCCCTGGGCCAAAGCTGGACATAAGGGGAAGAGATTTCGCGGCGCTCTCGCTGACGGCCCTTGCCGGGGCACCGCGGTCCTCGGCCGCCGTCCCTCCCCTTCCAGCCCAGAGCTTTTACCGTTCCTGGTAAGGCACCGTTCCTGGATTCGTTTGGAAAAGCCACCGTTTAATTCCTGTTCGGCCTCTTCAGGCTTTATTACTCTGTAAGTAAGAATTTGGCAGCTCTAGATACCGCTCGTCTTTCAAGGTAGCTAAACCCCTGTTGATCTTAAGAGGAATTAAGGTACCCCAAGTACATTTAGGTTTAGCCCGCGGTGATTAGTCTAAAAATGGTCCGCTGGGCAACGGATGGGAAGAAAAAAGGGCCAAAAAACCGTCTAAAGGGGCAAGAGCGAGGGACTGAAGGAAGATGCCCGGGTATCGCAGCAGGTACAAACATTTAAGAAACCGCGTTTCCTTTTGGATTCGGTTCAAGTTGGGAGTTTTCCTTAGCTGGTGGCGGCCGCTGCTTCGCATCTGGCTCCCCAAGCGTCTTCCGCTGCCGCAAGGGCGCCCATGGAGCGGGTTCGCTCTTCACCGGGGGGCAAAAAAAGAGTTGCCGGGCTCATCGCATCAAGGCACGCGTGCGCAGGCACAGGGGACGGTAACCATGTTCCCAAGAACCGGTGTTGCGTACCGGCACGCGGCTTCCCAACAGCCCCATCCGTTCCCGGGAGGCCGCCTAACGGGTGCTCCTAAAGCAGCGCGGCTCCGCGTGGCTGCTAGCGTTGGGTATTTACGGCCGAGTAGCTCGGCGCTCTTCGCGTTGTAACGAGCCGAGCCGGCCCGCGTCGCCCAGGGCTTGCTTTGCGCGCC